GGAGGGTAACAAGGGAAAGTGCTCAGTGCAGATCAGTGAGTAAGCACAAGCCCGCCCGTGCTTACCTCACTCCTGGGGACTAAGCACAAGCCTCCCCGTGCTTACCTCGCTCCCGGGGACTAAGCACAAGCCCATCCGTGCTTACCTAGCTCTCGGAGACCCGGTCCCTCTCGGGAGGGTAACAAGAGAAAGTGTTCAGTGCAGATCAGTGAGTAAGCACAAGCCCGCCTTGTTTCAGTACCTATGCTGGACCAGTAGGAGATGGCAAGCAGGGCACCTCATTCCAAAAGGAGTTCCCATCCCCAGAAGCCATTGAGCCATGGCTGCTTGTCCCAGGAGCAGTACCTATTACCCATAATGACAGTTGGTGGTAGGGCTCCTGGTACCAGAGGCGTTTTAGTTGTTTCAAAATGTGTCTAGTCCTAAGAAAAGTATCTTCCACCCCAAAAGGCAGCTGTTGCTAGGTCACCTGGTTCCCCAAAAAGTTTTTCACTCTAAAAGGTGGTTGCATATAGGGTGCCTTATCTTAGAAGAAATGCTTGCCATCCCTATTGGGAGCTGATAGCAGGGCACCTGGTCCCAGTTCCTGTCTAGTCCAAGGGCAACTAGGGGCAGCATGTCTGATCCCAGATGAGTTCTGCTGGCAGAAAGGGCGTCTAGGGCAGGGCATCTGGACTCAGAAAAAGGTCCTGCTATTTCAAAAGGTGACTTGGAGTCAGTCGCCTAATTACAGAAGGATTTGCTGCTTGCCCCAAAAGCAGCTAAGCTCAGGGCTTTTTTTTCCCCCTGGTCCCAGGAAAAGTTCCAGCTGTTCCTAAAGGAAATAGCTGTAGGACCTCTGTTCCCAGAAGTAGTTTGTCCTAAGAGATGGTTTGGTGTAGGGTGCCTGATCCCATAACAAGTTCTTGTCTCTGAAGGCAGCTGGGTGTAGGCCCTCTGTTCCTAGAAAAAGTTTGGTCCCAAAAGGTGGCTTGGTGTAGGGTGCCTGGTGCCAGAAAATATTTCTGCTGGCCCAAAATGTGTTTGGAAGTAGGGCACCTTGCCCAAGAACCAGTCCAGAATGTGGGTGGGGGTGGGTGATGGTCATTCCTCTGTTCACTGGTTGGGCATGGGATAGAAGGGGAAAAAGAAGTATATTGCATGTTTCTAGTTGCCAGCTACCAGTGTTCAGTGACTGTGCTGTCCTCATCAAGGGGAGCCATTTCCTGGTTCCTACTCGGATTGGAACAGCACTTGCAAATATTCAAAATGTCCATGCTGTCAGTCAACAGCTCCATTTAGCTCCTTATTTGTGGTTTTCATTCAGTTTCTTTTACTAGTTAATATTTATTCCATTTCTTTACTTGCCCTTTGAAGCTCAGGGTTACAAAATTACTCTTTTTATGTGTTTCCATTAATTTCGTTTTTCATTCTTGTTTTGGGTGTGTGTATTTTTCTGCTTATCCCACCATCTTGCTCCATAATTGTTCTTTAATTTTACTTACCTCTGTACATCTAAGAGTTCTGGTAGCATAGTAGTTAAAGCATTCGGTTGCTAACAAAAGGGTCAGAAGTTAAACTCATTAGTCTCTCTGAGGGAAAAAGATGAGGCAGCCTGCTTCTGTAGAGATTTATAGTCTTGGATATCTTATGGGTTCAGTTCTGCTCAGAAACATAGGGTCATTATGATTCAGAATTGACTCAGTGGCCATGGGTTTGGTTCTTTGTTTTTATCTACGTCTGTCTATCTATTGATTGATTAATTTTGGTTTCTGTATATACAGAGTCATTTTTTACAGGTCAGAATTGTAGAAATAATGAGGAGGTGACACTTATCCGCAAAGCTGATTTGGAGAACCACAATAAAGATGGTGGCTTCTGGACAGTGATTGATGGGAAAGTGTATGACATCAAAGATTTTCAGACACAATCTTTAACAGGAAATAGCATTCTTGGTAAGGCCGCTTTTTTTTTACTTTACCATTAAAAGTTTCAGTATGTGTTATTTTAGAGAGTATTTGGTTTATAAATGATGTCTTTAGTATTGCACAGCTGCCACACATTTTAATGTAGATTTTGGTGTCTGTCTTGGCAACTAATTCAGACACATTCAAAGAGTTTCTTGTTGTTCTGCATTTTTGTTGAAACATGTAGTTCTGACTTTCCCCAGGGAGCCCTGGGAGGAGGTGGGAGACTGTTACACTTAGATGTCTCTCACTTTTGTATAAACCAGCCATTTCTTCTTTAGATGTTTAGGCCAGTTGTGTTGAAGTCATATTGCTATGTAATTACTACTTTCATCCTTTTTGTTTCAGCTCAATTTGTAGGGGAAGACCCAGTGGTTGCTCTGGAAGCTGCTCTGCAGTTTGAAGATACGCAGGAATCTATGCATGCGTTTTGTGTGGGCCAGTACTTGGAGGTGAGGCTGTGTGCCAAGGGTGCCATGGGGAATGGCAGAGAGGGCGTCTGTGTGTGTGGGTTGTATGACGTAAAGTGTAAAACTAAAGTATGGGTAGAAAAGTGGGCCTGTGGGGGCCATTAAGTATAATCGTAAGACACTGTAGAAGTTTTCCAATAATGAATTTATAATTACTTGTGTTGAGATTTATGATGTGCCAGTCTTAAAAAGTTTTTGTAAAATTATTTGTAAGTAATAGAGTTTCTGTTCTATATAAAGAAGGTTAACCAGTTTTATTGTAAGTTTATGTAAAATTTAGAATGGTTTACTGTCTTAGACAAATAATGTGTATATTTTTAATGAACTATGTAGGTAAAATTCTTTAGAATAGAAATATGTCCTTAATACATATTCGTGAGCACTGGAATTTTATGTTGGGATTGGCTTTTTGATTATATTTATGGAGATGGTAGAATTCATTGAACATCACAGTAGCAGGACTTAGAACATTTTATGATGGAAAAAATTACATTGTTAATTGTTTAATGTGACTGGAGAAATTTAAGGTCATTTTTATTGGACTCTTGCTTTTTTTTTATGTAACAAGTGTCCTTTATGTTAGAATATATTTACTCTGCATGTATGGTAGTGGTTCAGTAACTTAGTAACTGGCAGTACTTGATATCATATTTTTTTTCTCACTGAGTTCATTATATATGTAAAAATTAAATGTATTTTTTGAAGCACTGTATACAATCACTTTGGGAACTTCTCTTCGGTTCTCTAAGAAAGTTTGTAACCAAGTCTTTTATCTGTGCTTTGGTTTGTCCACCAGCAGAATTGTGTATCTACTTTCTGCTTTTTAGGGTGTGTATGTATGTTTTATATGGTCTCTGTTGTTCTAGCATGGCTGCATAAGCTTATTACAGATGAGGCACCCAGATCACTCAGTTCTCTTCATCATATCAGTAAATCTTGTTTAAGGATTTAAGATAGTACAGTAGTTTTATGTTTGTAATTAACTTTGTTTTCTCAGACTGATGATAAAATTTATTTTTTCCAAGCCTGACCAAGAAATCATTACCATACCAGACCTGGGAAGTTTCTCTTCACCTCTCATAGACACAGAGAGAAATTTGGGCCTTCTTCTTGGATTACATGCTTCCTATTTAGCAATGAGCACACCGCTGTCTCCTGTGGAGGTTGAATGTGCCAGTAAGAGAAATTTTATTTTTTTGTAAACTCATTAGCTTATTATTATTATTATTATTATTATTATTATTATTTTGGTTGAGCCATAAGTGCCAGTAAGTGTGGGGGAGAAAGAAGAATCCAGCAGTTCTTGATGAGGAGAAATAGGAATAGTCAGACTATTGACAACATGAAATATCTTTGGGTAGCTTTCCATACTGTCATGATCTGTCACGACAGAGGAAGCTTCCTGGCATGTGGACATATATACTATGAACTCTGCTCTGGCTCACTTACGGGGTTTAACAGAGTCCCCTCATTTCACTGCATTTCTAGACATTGCATACAATGTGGTTTGTCTGTTCTTATTGTGAGAAGCATTTTGTTTGACTTTGTGATGGATGTTGTAGGGATGGCACCTTTGTAACCTCTTGAAGTAACATTAAGTTTCTCCACAACCCAGAAAATGAGTTTGAATTTTCCTTTATGTTTTGTGTATTTCTCCATCTTGACCTCCATTCATCCTGCAGACACCTGCGGAGTAATTCTTATGTGCAGGTCCCCAGGGTAGGCATTCAGGGTACACAAATCAGTGAGGCCTACTTCCGTCTTACGGGGATTCCCTATGGGGGTAATCCAGACAGTGTAGGCAGATGCCAAAGAGGCAAGGAGGCCACATCTTCTGATCTCTTCTAACCCTACAAGAAGAAGACAGAATCATCATCAGTAGCCCAAGGCATATTCCTGCAAGGCCAAACATGTTGCCTCCCTCCAGCCCTTTTACTAGCCATTCCTCCCACAGCACCCACCACCTCTCTCCTGGGTTCGATAATTGACTGTAGTGGCCCCACAGAACTGACAGATTATGGGGTTTATTAGGGAAGCACCAGACTACTATTCAAGTTCAGAAATGCACTTAGTCTCACTCAGCAGCTGGCTGTCTCAGTAGCACATCGCTCTCTCAGTAGTGCACATTTCTCCAGTCTCTCTCTTCAGCAGTGCATGTCTCTTATGTCTCTCAGCAGTGTGTTTCTCTCATGTCTCTCAGGAGTGCGTTACTCTTAGCAGCATATCTTTCTCAGCCAGCAGTCAGACTCCTCCTGCCTCTAGGAAGGCTCCTTTTGAGCCTGGCAGAATGACCACTAACCAATCCCAACATCAGAATTCTGTACATCTAAGAGAGAGAGAACTTCCCAGAATATTACTTCAGCCACTCTGAACAGAAATACCTCAGGTGGATAACTTTAACATTCAGAAAGCTACTCAGTTGCTCATGGCACATTCCACTATGGAGTTTACAAAGACTTATGGCTAGAAAAGCTGTATCAGGTAATTTACTACATTGTAGCAGATAGTGGTGCAGTGTGATAAAAGCTCATCCAGAGATAATTCTAAGACTTGAAATGAAATTGGGGTACCAGAAAAGTGAATGTGGGAGTATGTGGGAAGAAGCATGGAGTGTGAGGGGTATTGTTGAGAAAAATAGGTGTTTGTGTATGTGTGTGTGTATATATGTGTGTGTGTGTGCGCATAATTTTTTTTTTCAATTTTGCTTTAGGTGCAGGTTTACAGAGCAAAGTTTGTTTTACATTCAACATTTCATGTACATTTAGTTTCAGTCTCCAAACCATCCCCAACCCTAACCCAGTCTCCTCCCCTCCCTGCCCAGTAACACCCAGCCCCTGACCCTCATAGTTATGCACCCCAGTGTATCCTGCATTTCCTCTGTGTGAATATTGCCCCTTTGGTGCTCTGCAGTCAGTTGCTTTAAGCAATGCATCTCCATAGAGTATGTGCATGCATCACCCTGGGTTGAGTGGTCTGTGTGTACATCTTGTTTACTGTTGGGCTGAGACCCAGTCCCTGGGAATGAGTTTTATTCCTGGCCTAAAATGTATCCCAGGCCTGTAGTGTTGGGGGTCTTACCAGGCTCTATCCGACCAGTAATTCTGGTCATTACTGAGTTTTTGCATTTTATTCCACATTTTTCTTCCCACTCTATCCAGAGTCTTTAGTTTTGATCCTTTGCTGAGTGGTTGGCATTGGTAGCCAGGCACCATCTAGTTCTTTTGATCTCGAGGTCCATCAAGTCCTAGGGCTATCTGCTTTCAAATGTGCTTGGTTTTTTTGCAGTTTTCTTTGTGTCTGATGATAGGAGACCATTAGGTGCATCTTACATGGCAGCTTAAAAGCTGTTAAGACCCCACTCGCTACTCACCAACGTAGGTTGAGTAACAAGATTTTTATGTATTTTGTTACGCCAATTAAGTCTGGTGTCCCCCAGTTCTGTGATCCTGAGTCGGTAGATCTGTTGTATCTCTCTCCTACAGTGTCTGGGTGTCTATGAGGGATTACTCTATGTCTGTCTTCTTTTGTTTCTGTGAAGATTGTGGGTATTTTGTATCACTAGTATCTGTGCAAGATTAGCTTTAGCTGGATCTGTTCTTGGTCTAGAGTATACTCCTGTTCAATGACCCCCATCTGATCTTCTCAGATGTTTATGTGTTTATCTGTAGCCTGGTGTTTGGTGCTAATGGTAATGCAATATTGTGGATATACTAGTATATTTAGTTTCATTTCCCAGTTACCATCCCCAACCCTAACCCACTCTCCTCCTCTCTTTGCCCAGTAACCCCCTCCCCATGCCCCTCATAGTTATGCATTCTTGTGTTTCCTGCATTTCCTCTATGCCAGTGTTGCCCCTCTTAAAACATGAGGATTTAGGTATGAAGTTAGGTTTCAAATAACACATAGGTATTTTGAGCTGCTTGTATATGGTGCAACTGGTGGTGTTAGATGAAGAGTTTAATGGGTGAAGATGGCCAGATGCTGAAAGTGTGTGCTGGGTACTGTGCCGGCAGATTCTTTTAGGGGTGTTAGAGCTGCCCTTGTTCTCAAATACATGGGGAAGACTTAATTCATTTAGCTGAGCAAGTTGAGGAGGCAGAAGGCAGTGTTGAGGAGAAAGTCTGTGAAAAGGGCCTTGGGCACCCATTGAATGGTGGCCTGATCTTCCATAGGTATCGGGAATGTCTTCCTGTAGAAGCCAGTGGATGAGCTGTATCTGACCAATAAGCAGGAACTCCATGTTGTTGTTGTTATATGCCGTTGAGTTTGACCTGACTCATAGTGACCCCTCCTTGGGTTTCCAAGGTGATAACACTATGGAAGTAGATTGTCCAACTTTTCTTCCAAGGAGTGGCTTGTGGAGCAGTCAAGAACCCATAAGAGCTCCATAGGTGTTCTAAATAGATCCAGAAGAGGCTATGATCGGATTTATGTTTTATAAAAATTATTGTGGCAATTTATAAAGTACAAATTGAAATTTTTAGGGGGAATAATAACACTTGAGGGCATCCCACATTTGATTACTTGGGTTTTACAAGAGTATTTTTGATAACACAGTCATTAAGAAAATTCTGATGTTGAAGACACTGATGTCTTGGTTTTAGATGAATTTTCCAGTAGTTTTCACAGGTAGTTATAATCAGCATTACCATTTGAGCTGATGGGGTGGCATTTATTTATTTATTTATTTTTTGGTCTGGCCTTGCCTATCCTTTGTTGTATACAACACATGAATCATCTTCAACATTCATTGGTTCACTGTATTTCTAATGAACTATCCCTTATTAAAAATTGCATGCTGTGTATATTAAAGGGTGCTTGACGGCACATAACAACAGCAACTGGTGGTGCTCTGGTTAAGGCATTGGGCTGCTAACTAAAAGATTGGCAATTTGAACCCACCAGCTGCTCCATGGGAGAAAGATGACACAGTTTGCTTTGGTAAAGATTTACAGCCTTGGAAACCCTATGGGCATCACTACATGTTGGAATTGACTCGGTGTTAGTGGGTTTTTTGCTTTGGTGTGTTATTGCCAAAGGCATAGGGAGGCGCTATCTTCTGACCTCCTGTAACCCCATAAGAGGAAGACAGAATCACCATCAGTAGCCCAAGGCCTATTCCTGCGATTCCAGACATGCTGCCTCCCTCCAGCCATTTCACCAATCCTGACACCAACCATTCCTCCTACAGGACCCACCACCTCCCTGCTGGGTGTGATAATTCACTGAGGTAACCACACAGAACACACAGATAATGGTGTTTATTAGGGAAGCAACAGACTACAATTCAAGTTCAGGAACATACTCAGTTTCTCTCAGCCAACAGTCTCTTTCCCAGCAATATGTGTCTCTCAGTGTCTCTCTCAGCAGCACATGTCTCTCGTGTCTTTCAACTGGCAGTGAGAGATTCCTTCTGCCTCTCGGAGGGCTCTTTTTGAGCCTGGCAGAGTAGCCAAACTAACCAATCCCAACATCAGAATTCTGTACATCTGAGAGAGAGCTAACTTCCCAGAAAATTATTTTGTGCTGCTCTCAGCAGAAATAAGCCAGGTAGATAACTTTAACAGTCAGGAACTACTCAGTTGCTCATGGCAAATTCCACCATGGATTTTGTTGTTGTTATGTGCCGTTGAGTCGGACCCAATTCATAGCGACCCCTACTTGGGTTTCTGAGTCAGTATCACTATGGAAGTAGATTGTCCCATCTTCCTTCTGAGGAGTGACTGGTGGGTTTGAACCACCAGCCTTCTGGTTAACAGTCATGTGTCTTAGGCACTACACTACCAGAGCTCCCAACAAAGACTTATGGCTAGAAAAGCCCTACTATGTAATTTAATATACCTCAATTATATATGTTGTTGTTGCTGTTACTTGCCATTGAGTTGGACCCGACTCATAGTGACCCCTCTTTGGGTTTCTGAGGCAGGATCACTATGGAAGTAGATTGCCCAACCTTCCTTCCGAGGAGTGGCTGGTGGGTTTCAACCGCCAGCCTTCTGGTTAGCAGTCAAGTGCCTTAGCACTACGCTACCACAGCTCCTGCAGTTATATATTCTCTTATTCTACTTTACAAATGCTATGGGTATATGCAGTCTGTTCTTAGGAGGATCTTTTTCTTTTATAACCCCTTCACATATATCATTCCCCTGTTGGATGTTGTTGTGGTTACCTAGTGCCGCTCTGACAAGAAAATACCACAAATGGGATGGCCTTAACCAAACAGGAGTTTATTCTTACAATGTGGAGGCTTTAAGTCCAAGTTCAAAGTGCCAGGCTTTAGGGGCTGGGTGAAAATTCCTCAACCTTGGGGTCCAGCTCTGCCTTCTGCTCCTGGCCCACTGTAGCTAGAGGCATTTCTTCACTGAGACAGTTTCAGGCTGCTGAGTCTGAGAAGCCCCAAGGTTGACAAGTAAAAAGGCACAGTCCCGATGTTACCAAATCACATGGCAGGCAATGGGACATCCATTATATGTCCCAAGGTCAGCAGAGCATAGCAGGCTGCTGAGCAATGACACGGCTACATGCAGGGTCCATAGGCTAGAGACCATTCCCAAGGCTTCTCCTTAAATACAGGAAGCAGACCACATCCCAAGGGCAGCTCTCAGCTGCTTGTGGTAGATTCCACCATGGAGCTGATTGCCCATCTCATCATGGGGACTAACTACCACCAACTGCCTAGCCAAGTTGACACACAAACATAACTACCACAGATGCTCTGAATTTTTGTTTCATTCTGTATATCAGCTTAATTGTTGGTACCACAGGGGATCTTTTCTTGACTCCCAGAAGAGTTCAAGTCTTTCTGCTGCACATACTTTTACCACTCTAATACTTTGTTGCATATAGTTATTTCATTTGAGATTTAATGATTAATTCTGTAAGTGATACGTTGATGCTGGTCTCCCTGTTAGATTATTGAGTCACCATCCTCACATGGTGTCTGTGGAACCAGAATGCCCCATGCATTCTATCTCGTAAATGTTGGACTGAAAGTACAATAAAACCTGTGAAAGCTTGTGTAAGGCAGAAACCTATCAAGGGAAGGGAAACTCAAGTATTTTCCACTAATACAGAGTGATAGAAAAGTCGTAAGCCACCCTCTGTCAAAGATGGCAAACTTGTAAGACCTGGGAAAACAAGGTAGTCACCTTTAGTTCCAGCTCTCATAGATTTCACTGTATTATACTGAGACCTGATACCATGCTTAAGGCATTTTTAAATAACCAGAAATTGTTAACCTGGCTTCACATAGATAACAGGAATTATAGGTCAGTCTGTGTAAATATGTTAAATACAACTTTCATATAATAAATGATGCTATGTTTTACCTCTTAAGTATTTGTTTCCCTGCCTTTGTATTTGTTCAGCATTTTTTCCTTAGTATTTACATGTGAGTGGTGTACTCAGCTTCTCTCTTCTGTGTGCTCACTGTTGTCCAGAGTGGCTCCAGTCATCCGTCTTCTCTGGAGGCCTGCAGACCAGCCAGATCCACTACAGTTACAATGAGGAGAAGGATGAAGATCACTGCAGCTCTCCTGGTAGCATGTCTGCCAATAAATCTCGACTCTGTGTGCACAGATGGGCCCTAGGTGACCATTCCCAGGCCTTCCTGCAGGCCATCGCTGATAACAACATGCAAGACCACACTGTCAAGGTGAACTTGCGTCTGAGAATCGGTCACAAAAAGACTTGAACCTCTCACATCACCCATTACTGAGTCCTTCTACTGAGTGTCTCTGTTTATCTTAAGACTTGACAGCATACTTTCCTGGTCTTTTAGTATTAACTTAGTCCAGACTTGCTTTCAAATACCACTTAGAGGGATGATTTTGAGGTGAGAAGCTGGTTTGACTCAATGTGCAGGCAATATTTTAGAAACATTGCTGATTACAAGTACATCAGAAGCTGTGACACATTCAAGCTTTGCGTGAACCTGTGAGGATGGCTCTGAAAAGACTTATTGCCACTTCTGTTGCAGGACTTTCTGTGTCAAATAGAACGGTATTGTAAGCAATGCCACTTGACTACACCAATCACATTTCCTCCTGAGCATCCCGTGGAAGAGGTCGGCCGCTTGCTGCTATGTTGCCTCTTAAAGCATGAGGATTTAGGTATGAAGTTAGGTTTCACTGTTATTTTAGCTGTACTGTAGGTTGCTCACTCACATATGATACACATTAATCCCTTCTCTACCTCTTTTTTTTAAATGTTTTTTACGTACAGGTTATGTGGCACTGTCTTCAGTACACACAGGTATTGAGCAAATAAAACATAGAGTACTACCTAAATCAGTGGTGGATGTTTGTAGAGTTGTCTACCAAGCAAAATGCTCACTAATTAAGGTAAATAGATTTTAATTCTCTTTCTTCCATGCCTTGCAGCCCTTTAAAAGTATTTATTAAGTTGTCTTTTCTTACTAACTTTGCAGACACACCAAGAACAGGGCCGTTCATACAAGGAGGTCTGTGCTCCTGTCATTGAACGTTTGAGATTCCTGTTTAATGAATTGAGACCTGCAGTTTGTAATGACCTTTCCATAATGTCTAAGTTTAAGCTGTTAAGTTCTTCCCCTCGTTGGAGGAGGATAGCTCAAAAGATAATTCGAGAACGAAGGAAAAAAAAAGGTAAGGACATAAAGATAGGGAAATACTTTCAGAGTGTGTACTTTTCCATTTGTAGTTGAGTCTCTGTTTTCAGAGTGAAGCCATTCACTGCTGTCTATAGCATGGCATTTCCCAAAACTGCCATAATATTTGTTATGTGTATTTATAATTAAATAAAGAAATACTGCTAATTTTCCCAAGATATTAGATAATGATTAATCTTTGGAATAGAATGCATTATCATCTAATAACTAGTAAATACCGAAAAAGGTAAATATTATATAAACTTCACTAAATTGATGGAGTATAGAAAATATTTTTATCAGTTTTCTTGATAATAAAGATATATGCAAAAGTTTATTTTAAAATTCTTGTAATGGTGTTTCTTTGGCAGTACTGAGTATTCTGGTAGTGTGGGAAATTGTTACAAAAGGGAACTTGAAGAGTTCCTGATAATTTTTAAGGAAAAAACTTAGAAAGATGGAAAAAGACTTTTTGCATTAATCATCTGACATTTGAATAAAATAGTTTAGAACTTGGTCACTTGGGGCTATAAACTAGTCTTCAGAATTTTTTTTATTTTTTTAATTAGGATTTGGGTGAAGATTTACAGAGTAAATTCACTTTTCATACAGCAGTTCACATATACTTTGTCTCATGTCATT